AAGGCACCATCAAAGTCAAAGCCTGTTCAGATCTTAAGGATGAAATTTCTTCATAATGTTTTAGGACACCCAAAACTGTCAAGTTGGTAATGAAGTAACTTTCCCTGTTTTAAAATTTGTTAACGAAGTAGATTATAATACATAAAAGGACATTGTTTCCTAAGTTTACATCTCATTCAATCTTCACCAGTATACAACTATATAATCAACACCCAGATCAAGAAAGAGCATTACACACAACCTAGAGGCTTCCTATTCTCCCTGCTAGTCATTCTACCTCTAGGATGAACTACCAACCTTTCTCTAACAGAAGAGATAAGCATTTCCATGAACTGCACTCTATATAAGAAAATCATACAGTATAGGTTCTTCTGTTATTGGCTTCTTAAATACTATGTTTGTAGGAGTCGCCCACATGACTGCATGTAATTATACACCGTTCATTTTCATTGTTATGTAGTATTCCATTGTGAGGATAGACGATAGATAGAATGAATATAAATATATATATGTCTAGATATCTATCTGTAAAGATAGATATAGATCTCACTGTATCAGTTTCTCTTAGAAATTTGAATGGTCTCAGTTTGGGGCTACTACAAGTAGTAATGTAAGTTCTAATGTATATCTTTTGGTGAACATATAAGTATATAATTAGAAATGAAATTGCTAGGTCATATATTCTTATTAATCTGAAAATATGTTTTCAAAATGGAAAAATGGGGGAAAAAACCCAAGCAATAAAAAAAAAAAATCACTTAAAAGCTCACCATTAAAAAAAAAATACCAAGTAAAACTTTAACGGGACTTGACTCTAACCTATTTCTCACCCCATGCCAGACAACCACATTTAGCAACGTGATATGACTCATCCAGACATTTTCTGTGCTACTCAGAATTTAAAAAGGCAGAACAACCATTAAAAGTGACAGCCAGGAGTGAAACTGTACCAAGTGTTGAGTGAGAATGTTAATTCACGTTTCAAAAATACCCCATCACCAAAGTATAGGCAATATTTCTGACCACATCATAGTAATTGAACTGAGAATCACACATCCGTAAGATTGGGAGCCTATTGCTATCTTCACCAGCAGATAGCCAACAGCTCAAGAAATGAGTTTACTGACATTTTAAGGTGCTTTCAATGAGCTCATAATTTGAATTGCATTCAACTGTGATCTCTGACAACTATAGCAAAGTTTTACAGTTTTATGGGTCTTTATCATACAAGCATCTAAATGAAAGTACTTCTGGTTCAAATTCCAGCAGACACACAACACGAGAAAAAATAAACTTAAATCCATCATCTTTAATTCTCTGTATGCATTCATATTCAGTGTTTTTTTTTTTAAAAAAAACATTTAAATACCAATATTCAGAACTACCTCTTTATAGAAACAAATATATACATTTTCACAGTGAGAACACCGAAAAAAGAAAAACACTTTCTTTTCCGATAGACAATTAAATATTTTGCAATTCTCCTACCACTTTAAAAGCACAATGACCTCATCATTCTCATTCCGGTTTCTTGCTTATAGAAAAAGCAGTTCTGTGTTCTCCCACTATTTAAATCTCAAGTAAAAACAATGGCTCTTCTTTGAACCTCACTTAGGTCTCTTATTCCTTTCTACTCTTCTTTTCCTCTATGTTGAAATTTCCTGAAGCTTTCAAAATATCAAAAGAAAAGAGATGGTATTATCTTCCTTTTTAATTTTGACTAAACTACAGATATTTTGAAACATTTTTGTGCTTTTAGCTAAATCACTGCATTGTGCAAATGGTAAATTCCTCCAAAGAACCCTTAGAAGTGTCTTAGTGTCTAAGGTAAGCTCCCCCATCTCTTTCTCCTGAAGTTACCTGCAAATGCAAATTTTATTTTAAAATAAAATTGACATCTGAGAGTTTTAAGAACAATTCCCATTGAAGCCTAACTGAACAGTATTTTTAAGAAAAGTACCTATTCCTTTGTACCCAAAATTTATTGAGTGCTTACATATGCCACATCCTAAACCAAGGGCTTTATATCTATCATTTCATTTAATCCTCACCCCCCCAAAAAGGAAGGAAAGCTATAAGATAGATACCACTACTATTGTGGTTGATACTCCTGTTTAATAAATAAGGAAAATAGGGAATAGTGCAGTTAAGTAACTTTCCTAAGACCACACACTATCAAAGACTGGGGCCAGGATCAGATCCCATGTAGAGTGACAACAAAGGTCACCACCAAACCTTGTCATGTCCTGATTCATACATATGTCCATATATTCAAAGTACTTCTAATTTATTCATTGCTGCCACACAGAACTTGGAAAACCAGTAAAAACAGCTTCAACACCCAGGATCTAGAATGATTATTTTTATAAAACTCCAACATCCCCAGAGACTGGTTTGTCAAAAAACTAAGATGACCCACTGACACCAACATCTTGAGACTGATGGCCCCTATAGGGGATTCAGAAAGAAGACGGGACAAGTCAGGCACTCCAAGTCCAAGAAAAAGATCACAACTTGCAGATGTGCAGTACTTAGAGGGGAAGACTCAGGGAAAGCAGATACAGAAAAGATAGGAATTAGAGCATGGGAAGCAAACAAGGGAAAGAACAGATCATCAGTACGTAATGCTCAGAAAGGATACTTGCTAAGCTACTACAAGAGGCCTATATTTCCTACTCAACCCCCAAGAGCCAATGCTCAATAAGCTTGCCTCAACACTGCTGGGTAGTAATCACATACCTGTGATACGTAGGGGCAGGAAGCCAACCCCATTAGGGAAGAAGTTTTCCTAATGCCAGACTAGATGGGAGTCCTGGAAAACAGATGGGACAAATCAAACACTGTGACACACATGAAATGGGGGGAAGATGCAAATGCAGGTATCAGAGCCACTCCAGGGAGACTTCCCCTACTTACCAGTTTGACCTTGGGCCAGCCCTGAGCAATAGTCCATATTAGTGGGAGTTCCTCAAGTTTAGGGATGCATATCTGTCTAAAGAACTTGGCCATCTCCTCCTCCACTGCCTTTTCCCTCTCCTTTCCAATCAGAAATCAGTATAGTAGGATCCATAAAGAGGCCTATCGGTTGAGAGGCTGAATTCCCCCATGAGTCTAGAAGAGCTATGGCAGGATGGAAGAGGACTAGGACACAGAAAAGAGATGTGTTCACTGAGCAAACGGGGTCTATTCAGACCAGCAGATCGCAGTGTCCAAGCTGTACAACATTCTAGGGCAAACGAGTTCATAACTGTGGGCCTTGGTTTTCTTACTTAGAAAAAAAAAAAAGAAAAGTATCACAATGCCTTTTTCACAGGGTTTTGAGAAATTTAAATAAGACATGGGACAGTGTTTGTCTTATTTCAGGTACTCAGAGATGTCAGCCAACTACCGCTCCCCCTCCTAGGAGAACTGTTCAAATGTTTATGCCTGTCTTCAGGCCTAATTTACTTCCTTGTATGCCTTACACTTATTTCTACACACATCTTATCTCCTGTGCTAGTGTGTAAGCTTACCGAAAGTAGACTATACGCCCTACTCATGAGTATCTTTCTTAGCTGGCATTTAGTAAGTGTTTCTTTGGATGGGTAAGTTTAATAACAGAAGAGAGCACTAAAACACAATGGAGCCTATAATAATCAGGCAAGTGAAGACCGGGAATGGAGATGTTCAAGTCAGGCAATATCTGGACATTTCAACCAGTGGAAAAAAGAGTCAGAAAAGCCCTCACAGTGATGGAGGAGCCCATGGATTATGTTCATGGGAACTAGGCAAGATGCTAGAGTGGGACACTAGACTGGGTTTTAAGTTTATGACCTGAGAATAATTGAACAAGTGAACATCAAATTACTGGGGAAAATGGGAGGAAATAAGTGAACATAGACATAATTTCCATGTGAATAAAAATAAACTCTTCTTAGAAGCAATGACTATAGTTCTGGAGTTAGTGAATTCTTGGTCTGAATCCTCGGTCAGTTATTAGTTGGTTAAGTGTGGGCAAATTACATAATTTCTCATGTATAATATATGCAGAATAATAGTACCTACTTCAGGGGGATAATGAGGGATTCAATAAGACAATTTATGCTAAAACACTTAGCCCAGAGGCGGCAATATAAGTGCCCAACAAATGTCAGCTTTAACAATAGTACTTACCATTATTGCTTTTATTTTACAAATGAAAAATACAGAATCTCTGGGAAGTAATTTTCCCAAGGTCACATAGCTAGTAAGTGTTGGAACCTGGAATTAAGCCCAGGTTGGACAGTGAGCAAAGCCCATACTGTTTCTACCATATTGTGTCAGACTTACAATAGAAGCTTGGGGCTTGGACACATGAACAAAACAAAAGAATAATTCTTAGAAGGGCAGATTTGGCACAGGACTGACCTTGTTGGCGACATGTCTTCTTTTGAAGTGCTCTGGCCTGACATAAGGATTGGTCTCATAGTCAGTGTAAGGAAGGCTTCAACCTGAGGTCTCCTCCGGTCCTGGACCCAACCATGAGGGCTGGAAAGGGGTAAAGATAGGGAGTCAGCCTTGTCACTTCAATCTTCCTTCAATGTTCCTGATAATTGGGAAATCTATCAGTCAGAACAATATTAACATAAGTGGTGAATATTTACCGTGAAGAGGTGAAATTCTGTAGTGAATAAGAGTATGGTCCTTCTACTAATACAGACATGGTTTCAAGTTCTGGATCTTGAACTCACTGATTAACTCAAACTTTGGGTGAGTTATTTAACATCTGTAGGGTTCAGTTTCCTTACCTGGAAAATGGCAAAATTAAAAGTAAGAACCACATAAGGTACCTCTGAAAGTTAGATGTAATAGTATACATATTGTACTTTCAGTAAATGGTAGCTATTTTGGACACATTACTGGTGCCCATCCATAACTGGTTCCCCTCTCCCCTGACTCATGGAAGGCTAACTTTGTAGCCATCTTGGGATGGGCACGGCTGTAGGAAGAACTCCAGCCAGTCAAATGCAAACCAAAGTGACATGAGTAACTTAGTGAGAGAAAGAGTGAAAAACACCCTGTCCGGCCTCCCAGCTCTCTCTTTTCCTGCTGTGGCAACCCCAGAAGACCAGCTGAGTCAGCATTATGACAATTTCGTGCCTCTTTCCAAGCCCGGGTCTCTTAGTAACCATGTGGCACTGGGTTCCTCCTTGCCCTATTTCAGATACATACTTTCAGTGAGAAAAAAAACACTGCATCACCACTGAGATTCAGCAGCTACCACACTGCCCTAGGAGACCCAAATCTATCCTAATACAGGTATTATCATCATCATCCATTACCATGGTACAGGTCATTACCATTTCCTTGGTATCCATCATTGTACTTAGCATATTTTATGTTATAAACTTTGCTCTATTTATATTTTACAACCTACTGAGTATAAATTAAACTAAGTGTAGTTTGGTAAATACTAAGTATTTAAAAATATTTTATCACCTTGAACTCTCTAAATTATGGAACAGTGAAATTCCATATAATGGACAATTCAAGAGATGAGAGTTAATCAAATACACCTGGTTGTAGCTTTTTTCTGCCCACTCCTCCCTATCCCCCCCTGAATGCTGCACCACGTCTGCTCAGAGCTCCCAGCTCTGCTAAGCTAGCACCATCACCCTTCTTCTCCAGCCACCACCATGATCACCTCCTGAGACCTCATCTGCTAGGATGAGATGTTGTCCACCATCTACAAGATCTGGGAGATGACACAGGGGCTGTGCCTGGAGGTGGAGGGGAGGATGGTCAGGAGGACAGAGGGCAACACTGATGACGTGCTCATTGGTGGAAACACCTCCACAGGAGGCCCTGAGGGTGAGGGTACAGAAAGCCCAGTCACCACTGGTGGTGATACTGTCCTGAACCATCACTTACGGAAACCAGCTGCACCAAAGAAGCCTACAAGAAGCACGTCAAAGATTACATCAAATCAGTCAAAGGCAAACTTGAAGAACAGCAGCCAGAAAGAGTAAAACCGTTTATGACAGGGGCTGCACAACACATCAAGCACATCCTTGC